TGTGTGTGTGTGTGTTTGTGTGTGTGTGTGTGTGTGTGTGTGTGTTTGTGTGTGTTTGTGTGTTTATTTGTGCTCGTGTCGTCTGTTCATCTGTGATGTTGCTATTGGGCGCTTCGCCGTCTCTCTCAGAAGTTCGATTCCCAATTGAGGAGACTTCTTATCCTTATCGGGTATTTTCGTCTTCTTACAGGGCTGTTGTATCCCTCTCAACCCAGATTGGTCCTTACAGGAAGGGCCAAAGCGGACGTTCTAAATGACTAAATTGTGTCGACATGGGCGTAAAACACCTACATTCAATGTATACAGTAAAGTTATAAAGATCCTTATTCAAACGAAACAGCCAGCACTGCTTGGTTTTACTCGCTTTCTCCCTTCTCGCCCGGAGTTCACTTACAGCTGTTGCCTCAGACAGTATTGTTGGAGAGACAAAAGAGTTTTGAGTGCAACTCGAAGGCCGCGAACTTTGTATACTGTGGGATCTTAGACAAGGTACGGATTGTGGAAATACGGGTCTTGGGGAGAGTGCAGTAACATTGATGTAGAAAGCCCAGACAAAAGAAGCTCACCATCTTGAGTATAATAAAGTCTTTGGACCAACTGGGCTGGAATTGACGCAAGTAGTTGGATGGCGCCACTTGCAGGTCCTACTTCTTTTTTGTCCTCTGCCTTTTTCTGTCTGTCTGTCTCTGAGTTTTATCCAGCACTAAATGAATTATTAATTGTGCTGATGTGCCTCTAGATTCTCTTTACTACAGCAAACGAAATTCGACGTTAAAACCCACAAACATTAAAGAAGATGGAAGTCTCTTAGTGTTAAACCCATCATCATCATCATCATCATCATCATCATCATCACCTTTCTCACCCTGGACCAGGATCAGGGTATAGGCTGCCGACAAACTCTTACTTCTTACCCCCTTACCCTGTTTTGGGGCAATTTTCTCTGCATTATTCCATGTCTTTCCACTTTTCTGTACTTCATTCTCTGCCGACTCTTATCGCTTTGGGCCCATACTGGGGGCATACATTATAATGACTGGACAACGTTCGTTGGCCAGCCTCTGCCAATAAACGTGTCACCTGACACAACTCACGTGACTTTCCTCGCCTCCTCGACAATCACCGTGACACTTTGGTCTCTATTAACACCCCCGACGGTCACCC